ACATTTTCCCATCTGCTTGAAAAATCAGCCTCAAAATCAGTTGAAAAACCCACACTAAACGTATTCTAAATATAGATTAAAATAAATCTGTGTAAATCGTTTATAATTCTAGGCAGAGCTTTATCATTATTTTGGAAAAATAGTTTTGGTTGGTTGATAGAATTTTCTTGTTAAAATCCAAACCGTTCTGAAAATTGTTTCCACACCGGAAACACATTTTTCACATTTGAAAGTAACCACAATTATTTGTGCTGCCAAGGGCTTTGAAATATGGAAATGAGAGGTTTATTTAGCGTGCGGATCAAGCTTATAAACAGCTTAAGTCCTCATTCCTTCTAACATCTTAACAGCTGTGCAGTTTCTTACAAAATATGTTTTATCGTTTCAAGAAATGCTGTTAACCTCGCAGTTTTAAAACTGAATGAACAAGGCCTCTTGGACAAATTGAAAAACAAATGGTGGTACGACAAAGGAGAATGTGGCAGCGGGGGAGGTGACTCCAAGGTTAGCCTCAATGTCACCAAAAGCGGGTAAACAGTATGTGAAGTAATTGGTGCATCTGCTGGGGTGTTACCTGCGACGAAACAGCTTCACCAGTAGCGCAGCGCCGCTGGTACCTGCAGTTGCGATCTGGGTGTATGCAATTACTGTCAAAGCAAAAATATTTGCATTTGTTTAAGCGCCCCAAGGGGAACTCGTACACGGTCTCTGCTGTGAGACCTATCACCCGTTTTCAGAAACCTGCATCTTCTGAAATCGTGATGAGCTTTTTCCAAGCTTGCTCTTGTGAACAAGCAGTTTGAAACTTTCGGGAGAAAATGCCAGCTTAGACTTTTTTCCTGCTATATGGTACTACCCAAAATATTTTTCAGCGGCAGTAAAGGAAAAGGGTGCAAATCAGCGTGACTGCCTCCCAGCAGTAATGGTCCAGGCTCAGGGATCCACTATTGACACAAATAATACTGGTACAAATTACAATTTCCACATGAGTATCCAAAATAGGAGAACAAATTTCAGCTAAAATATCTTCATGCTGACGTTTCCTGGTATCTTACCAGCAAATCCATGGTTGTTCCCCAGGCAGAATTTATCAGACAGGGATTTTAGGCTAAATTTTAGGCTGAGATGATGACAGCTTCTTATTCTTCCTGCATTTCCGTATCTTCCATGTGGCCAGTGCCACTACTTCCTTGCTTCCTCACAGCTTCCTTTTGGGAAACTGCCTTGTGCTGAAAAGAAGCAAAGATACGGAATTGGAAGATGGTGAAGTGGGGAAGGTCGATGATAAAAATAACCCTTCCGTGCCAGTCAGCATGTAATAATATTTATTTATGTGCTTGTGTGTGAACAATATATAAGAGAAAACTGCCCAGGTAACTGTGCAGGCACAGAGCTAGTCAGATGTAGATGATTAAACTTGACTGATTTGTCAAACACAGTTTATGTAGCTTTCTTTACAGTTGCCTACATATATTTTTTCATACTATTTTCTCTCCTTCTTTAGTCCTCCTGCTCTTTCATGCTGTGTCCTGGCCTCAGGGACCGTCCCTTGGGCTGTTCTGCACTCACCCAGAACTGGTCTCCTAATCCTCTTCACTTTGCCTTCGATCCTGCTGCTCTACCTATTTTCCCCCCGCCGCTCTGCTCGCCAGCAGTCACAGTTTCAAAAATGGTCTCTATTTTCTCTTCCAAAGTGCATAGGCGTATTAGATCTGATGGCACTTACCTGCAAGTGGAGCAGACACCGACTTCTGTAAGAAAGTTGACAAGCGAACTGTCGATCTCCCACGTTGCTACTATTACATGCTCCACCCCGGCCTGAGCTTTTGCATTATTGGGGGACGGGTTTATTTGGGGTTTTTTTAAATGTCACAGGCAGGGAGTGACATCATTAAACTGCCTCCATATTCTTAGAATACACTTCTCACAAACCTGCTGCGTTTGAAAGGTGAGATAAGAGCTAGGTAGCAAACTAAGGATGCTTTTAACTTACTTTCCCTGGTTACCAGCCACTGGTGCTTTGAGTCACAAGGCGGGAAAGGGGCAGCAGCTCGTGGCAGAAGGATGGGCAGAGCTTCACCAGGGAAATGTCTGGAAGTGCTGAAGGAGCGAGTTTGGTGTGATGGCAAGTGAGAGAAAAAGGAATGGCAGAAAAAAGTAGAAAAGAAAGGCAAGGAGTGCGGTCCGTGGAGAAACAGGGAAGATCTGTGAATGCAGGAGGGAGGAGGGAACACATCGCCAATGGAGATGAACGATAGGTGACGCAGCAGGTCAGGATGCAGTAGAAAATATGGTGGGCAAGGCAGCGTTAGCAGAGCATGGAGAACGTGATGGAGTTCAACCTGTGGTCCTAGGACTACATACAGCCTGCCAGGAGCATTCATCTGACCTCAAGCCTGTTTCTTGCCACGCTTTTTCCCAGGCACAGCGGAGTGAGTAGGCAGTACCAGCACTCCTGGGAAGCCCCAGGTCTATCATGTGCCTGCACTGCCCACGTTCCGTAGGGCCAGGCATATCATGGAGATGAGTGAGCATTACCATGCTTCTCAAATTCTGCATTGCAGCAGCATCTGGTCTTGTTTTTTAAACAACAGCTACTCTAACTCCCCAAAGTGTTAGTTAGCCATTTACCATCTAAAATCCATTTTTTTTTTTTTTCAGGAACAGTCTTGTAGGATCTGATCAATTAAGGTCAATGACACCCTTTCTGCTGAATTAATGGAGCTCTAAATATTTTAATTTTATATGCTAGCAAATGATCATTAATGGAAAAAACAGGACACCATGCATTATTGTTGCAAACCTAACGGCTACCAACAAGTCCCAAACTAAGCTCCTAAGCATCTCTAGCTAATGCTTCTTTTCATTGTATGAATTTAAAAAGAACAAACCCTGAGCTTTGTTAGCAGCTCCAGTCCAAATTACAGGGCTTCCTACTGTCATGGACAAGAATCAGAACATCCTCTTCTCCTGAAAGAAATACAGCACCTGAGACTTAACTGGTAACTGTGCTGCAACTATTTGAGATTCACTAGTCAGAATACGGGAGTCTAGACCCAGAATAACCCTTCATGAAAGTACAGACTATAGAAATCAGGGAGTTTCATGAGAGTTCAGCAGCTCTCCAAAGGTTTGTGTTGCTCTGTAAAACAAGGTTTCTCCTACCTCCATTCTGTGCTCTTAAAAGGTCATCTTTAGCCTCCCCATTTATTGTTGCCTTGAAGGGACAGTCTTCCAAAATTCAGAAGGACAGTTCCAAGAGCTGCCCTGTGTGAACCACCTGTGGTTTAGTGACCTCAGTAATTATGTCATGTTTGAATATAAAAACTGAGGTCCCCAAGTCATTTAAATGCTTTTGAAAGTATTACCTCAGATCTTAACTGTATGCCATCATCATTTCATGTGATGCATGGGAAGGTATTCAAACACAGTTGCTGCCACTCTGCTCTGTTGTTTTTATAAAAGTGTGAGTGGAAGGCAGCTGAGCTGATGGAGCTTCCCTCCAGTCTCTGCTGGCAGCCCTCAGGAGAACACAGTGGCCCTTGTTTTTCACTGAGCGGATGAGACTGACCTTACACTTAATTAATGGCTCAGCCATTAATTGGTATTGAATTGAAATTGAAAATTTCAGGTATTGAAATTCAATTCAAAGGGTATTGAAAATGCTCCTAAAGCATACTCGTGATCGCATTTTTTAAATCCCTGCCTACCAGAATTCTGTATTGGTTTCAGAACCGCTCAGTATTGTAATTTAAATTCTGTAAGTGCCCATTCGTTGTCTTGAACACAACTAACTCAGAACTTCATTACCGCTGTTTTAAAGCACTGTGATTTTGCTGATGTTGCTGGCACAAGATCCAGTCTGAGGCTCTTAAAAGCCAGCCCTTCCTAGAGCAAGTGATTGATGACAGGGTAGGAGGAAATGAGTAAGAAGCTGAGAGAGGAGGTAGAAGGGCTGAGAGCATGATGAAAAGGCAGAAAACGGCTGTCCCTGCGCCCAAGTCAGGCTGCACCACCACTGACTTCAGCACGTGGGTGAAGAACAGGGTCTCCTGTGCTGTCACACAACAGTTTTGCACTGTGACTACATGGGACAAATTCTTCTCCATATATAAAGGGTAATTTTAGTTATTATTGCTCACACGTTGTCCTTACATGAATTCAAGGCAGATGGGTCCTATTTATTTATAACAACGGAGATTCTCAGCAGCTGTACATTGGAAAAACTACACTGATTTTCACAAGCCCTGCCAGTTTACTCTAGTTGAAGATTTAGCCCAACATTAGAAATTCAGAAAACACTACACAACTTGGGGGAAAAAAAACCAAGTCTGTAGTAATTTTCCATTGTAATATTAAGTATGCAAGACTGAGCTTGATGGGAAATTTAATTCTAAATGCTGGATTTGACTCTGTATATGACTTATGTACATTGCTCTTGTTCCTGTCAGCAGACCATACTGATTTTTAGTTTCTGCCCCATTTAATATCAGTGGGACTATTCACCAACTGATTGTGTAAGCAGTGTAGTAGTAAGTTGTAGTCTCTGAGTTTGTGACTGACACAGTCAAAATTATGCTTATTTAGAGAGAGTATTTTCATAGAAAGGAGAAACACCTAGATAAGTGACTTGCCCTGAAAGCCAAGGTGACCTGGGCATTCATATCCCATGGCAGCTGCTGAAAATCTTCTACTAAAATGAGAAAATAAATAAAGCAAAGCCTAAAAGAGAAATTTACTACATCTGCAATCACTTACTGTGATTGCAAACAGGTATATATGTTCCTATTCTAAGAAGCATAAGGAAAAATCTTTCTTTTCCACTCTGTAGCCCCTCAGTCTGGGCTTCTTGTATGGGACCATGTACATTCCCCATTGCAGCTGGCTGATTTAAAGTGGGACAAAAATCCTGTTCTGAAAGTGTAAAATATTTTTAATTTTTTTTTTTAATTTAATTTTAAATTTCGCTTGGAGTGCTTCTCCTTCATCACAGCTAGGACTGTCTGAAGGGAGATGTAAAGGACACATCGTGTCTCATTCACATAGCCTCACTAGGGCAGGTGAGAAAGCGATGGGCAAAGGACAGGTTTCCCCAAGCTTGTGCAGTGCCTTGACTCAGAAAGTGTTTCAGCAAAAATAGTGGAGAGGAGAAACGAGGGCCTGGCCTCGGACACACCATTGGCTGTACTTCAGTGAAAAGTGGGAATTGCCTCATCTGTGCTGGCCATTGCCATGGCGTTCAGTTATATATTGAGGATAGCGTGGCACTTTTAATCATGAAATTGATTGCTTTTCCCAAAGGAAAACCTGAGAGCTTCCTTGCAGGGATAATGCAGAAAGGATGACATTGAAGGAGCTACAGCTGCAAAGAAGAAAAAATCCCTGCCTCCATCAGGCTTTATAGACCTAAACTGCTACTGCTGAAAAAACAAGCAAAGGACTGGGAGACATCTGTTTTCTAACTTGTCCCAGCTTGCTGCTGGTCTTGATAGTTCATATTGAGTCCTAATTATCACTTTAATCAGCTTAATCTGCAACAACTCCACAAGCTTCTGATTTTCCATGCCAAAGCAGTACCTGGATGTCCCTCATCTTTGTCATCACCAGCCCCGTTACACTGCTGGGATTTAGGAGCACCGAATTGTGGCTCGGTGCCAATGCATGACATGTTACAGATGACAGCTATCCAAATAACATTAATTATTTCGCACTTGTACTAGAAGCAAATGGAGGATCATATTGACAGGCAACTTGCCAGCATCCCAAAGTGCTACCCGCTCATTTCACAGCTGTGGGATTCTCATATTCCACTATCAGGCTACACAACCTGCTGCCAGGAAGCCTGAAGACAAAATGTAAGTTTGAATACTGGGAAAGATCGAGAAAGAAATAGGCATTTTCTGTTCTAGAAGCAGAGTATTCCATATGAATTAAACATGTGGGATTTGGAAAGTGCGTGAAGCCTTTCCTTTAAGTAAAGGGATCACTTGAGAGAACCTGGGAATCCTCCCACCCAACTGTAGCTGTCAAAAATTGTCATTTCTCCGAGGCACCAAGGCTTCCTGGGTAGTAAATGAAAAGAGATGGGCATCTCAACAGCATGCTTCATCCTTTGTTAAAACTGGTATTTAAGACCACCTTTTGGAGGCACCCGTCTTTTTCCCTTAACTGCAGGGAGGCCTAGACAGGCAGCCAAAGCTTGGGGCATAACTTATGGCTAAAAAAATGAGGTGGGGTGAGGTGAGTGCCCCTCTTTATGTGTATATACAACGAGTAATCGGAATGTATGAAAAGACAGGATCCCTAAAGCTAAGAGTAGCCTACAAGGTTCAGGAACTGCTATTTGTGAATTAAATATATATCACAAACATGCACAAATATTAATACATAAACATTTGGGGATTTCCAGTTAAATCAGTTATAGAGTGTAACAAGCCCCTTTTCTCTCTCATAGTAACTATTTTAGTAGGTGCAGTTACACTATGCTAATTAATGCTTGCACTGGTTATTTATTTATTAAGCCTTGAATTCATGAGTTAACATTTTAGCAACGCATGGATTATGGGGGATTAGTTTTCCCATCTGCTGGCACACCCAGGATCAGGTCCTATGTCATATAACATCACCAGAAGGCTCTCTCTCACATGCCATTTCTGTTTATCTAATCTACCTCCTTCTCTGATAATATATATTGTGTTTTCCTGCACACCTGCACATAAATAGATATCCATAGGCCTACCAAATTAAGAATTTTACAGTCAATGATTCAAAGTGAAAGTACATAAGTCTGTTATTCATTTTGTAGGTTTTTAGAAAATGAACTGGTACAACTGCATGAAGTGGGGCATTACCATAATACTCTGAAATTATTCAGTCAGTTTAAGTAACTTCAGTGTAAACCCATAGCAATTCATGACTCTGAGGCATCAGATTAGGTTTCATCTCAATATTAAATTCTGTTACGTCACCCACAGCAAATACCACTAAGTAAGAGAAGATATTCCAAGCAGTAATTTATCATCAGCCTGGGACCCTTGAAACACTTATGTGAATAAGGGAGATTTAAGGAAAAACATGGAATTTGAAAATAATGTTGAAACGGGAAATGGAAATGAAAGATTGACTGTCATGTTCTCCTTAGGTGAGGATAAGGGGATCGCAGCTCTCCCCCTAAGTTCTCTGCACGCAGACCTCCTGATTACAGGTCTGTGCCAAGTGGTTACGGGCAGAAAACTGCACGAAGCATCTCCTTTCTCTTGCCAGGATAGTTTTGAGGGCAGTAAATGAAATAGCTATAGCCAAGTCATATTATTAGTTTGTATGCATACAAACTAAAAACAGACTGAAAGCAAGCAACACAAACGAATACGTTTCTTAAGTCGTATATCCGGTTGTATTATATATGTCTCTGAAGGGTATGTTGTTAACATGTCTGAGCCAATAGTTTTGGGTTCACAGTAATTGCATACTATTTATTTACAAATCTTCCCCAGCAGTATGTGCCTGTTACCTAAAGCGATGGAGCAGGTCCCGGTCATATGTCTGTCTAAACCTGGGCCAACAGTACATGACATAGCACCCACTGTGGCCTCTGCTCTGTCACTTTGCAATGCGATTCTATGTAGTTTTACTTGAATAACATAAAATAACATATATAATGTTATTTATGTTATTTTCCACGTGAAGAACTCCTGTAAACCTTGCCGTTTTGAAACTCAGTGAGGCAGGCGTCTTAGACAAGCTGAAAAACAAATGGTGGTACGATAAAGGTGAATGTGGACCCAAGGACTCTGGAAGTAAGGTCAGTCGCTGCAGTTCGGGACCTACTATCGTGTTCACAAAGCAGTAAAGGAAGTAATAAACAAAATGACTTAGAAATAAAATAAGCAGCTGTAGACACAGAATGAACCAGCTTTGCCCCGTCTTAATGGGGGTCGCACTTTAATTTAAAGAAGCACTATTGCTTTTTAAAGTCTTCAGTGACATATATCACCCAGCATTGTCCTATATGTCCAGGGCATCTGTTGAAGAGTTACAAGGCAGCTTTTTGGGTTTGGGGGAGGCAGGCTGGGCTAGCTGTTACCTTCCTGCCTGGGGTGGGTGGACTTTCCCCGTTGACTACTTGGGAAATGTCGCTTCACGCCTTCTCCTTTCGGAGCCGGCCTCCCTCAGCAGTTTTCCGAAAAGCAGAAACATTAGCGGGAAGGATTGCCTTTCATCGCTGCCCCGGGGGGCTGTGCCTGGCTGCCTCTGGGAAGGTCCCTGGCTCCTTCAGCAGCCAAGGAAGAGCTTTGAAGTGAAAGGCTTTGGTAATTAACCGCTTTCTACGGCTTCCAGTGTTTACCCTTGTCCATTCCCAAACGGTAATCCTGACAGCTCCGGGGAGTGGAGCCTTCTCTGCTTCTCTCTGTTCGGGGACAAACACAGAGCAGGTATTTCTGATGGCCAGGGAGCACCGCAGCCAGTGCCAGCCCCATATTCCGAGAATGACATTTCCTGACGGTGCCCATCTCCGTGCCAGCCCGTGCTGGCCGGGGCCAAAAGGCCAGCGTGACGGGCAGCGCCTGCTCGCTGTCTGCGTGCCCTGAGAGTTACCCTGCTGGAAAGCGGGTAAAATTAGCCTGGGAAACGAATTTCCAACACATTTTGCTTTTTCTGGCAAGTGCTTTGGAGGAAGGAGTGAAAACCAGTTACGAGGACAGCAGAGGACCTGTAAGTGGCAGCTGAGCAAGGCTGAACGCACCACGTACGTTAGGTCGGGTCTTTCGCAGTCCTGCCTCCTCCTTGTTTGCAAGCACCACGTTAGCAGTTGCCACCGGAGGAACACAGTCACCTCCCGGACACTCGGAGTCCTCTTAGGCAGCTAAAAAGAGACAGACAAAGCAGAACCCAGCTGTAAGCCCCAAACATCTCTACATGTCCATGGGAATCGTTACTGTGCAAATCTACTGGTTGCACAGTAAATAGTGCTTCTTTAAATTAAACATCCAAATATTTTGCATTCTTCGTAAGTTAAAATTTCATAGACATTACATTTGGAAGTTAAGTACTCTCCTTACTTTAGGTAAATATTATATAGTCTGCATAAGAATAAAGCTTTATAAGTGTCTTAAGGCGCACGATGTAGTATATGGAGGTCAATCTTGAGTGAGTTCCTTGAGAACTGTGCTAAAAATGCACATGGATTTCAAATCAAAATACACGATTCATAATTAAGCAGTGAAGTATAGAGAAATGTAGAATAGTTATTTACTACATTACATCCAAGAAGGTGATAATTTATAAAATAATGTATATTTAATAATTTGGTAAAGAAAGTTCTCACTGCTGTCTAAATTATGAATAATGTGTAAGATTTCCTAAATTGCTATTTAAAACTATACCATTACTGAGTCTTCGTAGTCCATGGGCATGTTCCAGAACTGTGTCTATAATAAAATAGAAACAAAATACAATAATCGGTAAGAGGCAAATATATCACGATGCGTATGGTACAGTGTGCACTTTCAAAGGAAGTGTTTCTTCAAAGAAATAACTTAAGCCTCACATGTTATTTTCACCTGGATCTTTTAAATTAGCAGCTATGCCTACCACAAGTACAATTACTGTTTTTGTAAAGATCAAGCAGAGTCTTGTCTGATATAAGTGGATTTCTGGATTCCAAGGCTTTTAAAGAGCTTTATGTAAATGCAGTTTTATGTCAGTGCTAAAATGTCCTCTAAAGAGAGCTAGACATGTCATTGTTTAATTTTCCGCTTAGTGGAAGTAATGCTTTGCAGTAAGCAAGCAATGACATCCTGATATGTTGGCAATGTAATATTTTTTTATGCCGACCAGGAAAACTAGGCGCTGAAAATACATTGTGTAGATCCAGATAGGTCAAATTTTGTGAGAAGTATGTAAACAACTGTCCTTTAATTTCAGCTAAACATTGTCACTTATTTCTATTTCCAATGTTTTGATATGTAGCTTGTGTTCCTGAGGGTCTGTTTTCCGGGGTTAACTGTGTCACTTCTGTTTCCCCAGGACAAGACGAGTGCCTTGAGTCTCAGCAACGTTGCTGGAGTCTTCTACATTCTGGTTGGAGGCTTGGGCTTGGCAATGCTGGTGGCTTTGATAGAGTTCTGTTACAAGTCCAGGGCAGAGGCGAAACGAATGAAGGTGGCAAAGAGTGCACAGACTTTTAACCCAACTTCCTCGCAGAATACCCAGAATTTAGCAACTTATAGAGAAGGTTACAACGTATATGGAACCGAAAGTATTAAAATTTAGGGGTAGGACTTAGGGCCTACTACAGTGAGTGGGTGATGCATCTTGTAACGCAGTGTTGTGACATGTCTGTCTAGTGGTGCTTGCTTCTGAACAGAGCTTTTGGAAAAATTCAGTGCAAAGCGGTTCATTTTTTTTTGGCTGCAGATGTACAGTATACTATTCTATGTTGCTAATAGACATCTGCATTGCAAGGAATTTTTAACACAAAAATTACGTTTTTAACAACTCAATGTTGTCGATTCAGTTGGGAGATGACAACTATTTGAAAACGTAAAATATATATTCAGAGGGCCAGTGTTTAATTACTTGATTGGCCAGTCCTGAAGGTTTGCATTCTACTAGTGACAAATTGCTGTAAGCCTTTATTATTCGATGTTGGCCCTAACTGGGACTTTGTTATAATCAAGATTTAGGATAGGCAACGTCACTGAACCATAGTTAACGTAACGGAAGACAAGGCACTGTTACAAGAAGTCTAAATGTTGTTTTGCCTTCTCTCCCTCCTCCCCACCCTGTTCCTTCACCCTCCCTTTGATATATGTTTTATGCTAATTGTGTGGCATTTTTTTCACAATATCCTGCTTCAGGTCGACTTTTGCCCACTCTAGTAACCACAAAAAGTCACTAACCAGTGAGCAGACCTTGATTATCGTCCTCAGCTTTCAGGAACGTGCCCCCTTGCCAAGCTCAGGACTAGCGCGTGTTCGATGCTCACGCAGCGGTTTCGGAGACCGAACCGCTGGCGCTGCCGAGCTGCGCTCTGCGTAGTTCCCGGAGCAGGCGTGCAGGGATGGTTTACTAATGAACTTGTTCTCATCCCGGCAGTGGGTATCTTGCCAACTAATCGTTAGTCAGATCAACTCTCTGACCTTTGGAAATTGCACGTAGCGGCAAATTGAGCTTCTAAATATAACTTGTACATAGCTCCCAAGCTATACCGGCTGCTTTATGAGTGAAGGTGCAGCTAGACCCCTGCCCTTCCGTGCTACCTAGACCTCCCTTGCCCTTGCAGATGGCAAGCCACACGTCTCCTCTGTTAACAAAAAGCTTGAGCTACATTTTCCTGAAATCACTGAGCCAATCCTATAGTGGAAGTAAGAAACAAAAATTTAGGGAAAGGAGAAGGAGAATATAATTTTTAGTTGCCATCTAGAAAAATTTTTGGAGGAAACAACTGGAGATAGATACAATTATTATTTTTTATTTATTATTTATATAGCGCTGGAGTACACGGCGCTGTACAATAGGTGAAGTGAGCCAAACACATAACAGGTCCCTGTCCCGAGGAGCTTACAGTCTAAAGGCACAGCCGGTACAATACCGAACCATACAGTACAGAGCAAACACAGAGTGAGCAGAGAATGGTGTTTGAGCATGGTAGCTGGAGCGCTGCAAGGAATAGGTGGGTTCTCGGGGGGCAAGGGAGGGGCTTGGCGTACGCTGGCTGGGAAACTATCCCAAACATACTGTCGCTGTGTAGTTTTCTTTTGTTCCCTGTTGTACAAGAAGTCATGACCCTGGGTCAATATTTTAATTGCAACAGAGCTGCCTAATTTCCCCATGTAAAGAAAAAAAAAAAAAGTCTTAGCTGTGCACTTCGTTCACTAGTGAAAATGTGAGGCACAGTAGGTGTCGGGGGACTCCGAGAGTATAGGCCAGTGTTCGTTACTGTGAACTGGGAATCAGGACTTCCAGGTGCTAATGTTAATCTCCCAAGTTCACTGCCTACTGTCACTAATAAGGGTCTTAAAAAGAAATAATCCTGTGCAAGTAATTGTGCAAAATGCAAATGAAGATATCTTTTTCCTTTAAATTCCTCAGTCATGTGCCCATGACTGAGAGTGTCCCCAGGCTGGTATAAAAGTAAAAGTCCCAGAAAACATATTCCTTATCAAGTTTGCAGGGTGCAGTGCATCCAAACCACAGTCTTAAAGAAAGCAAACAAAAACCCAAAGCTTTATTTCAAATACTGACCTGACCCAAACTGGCTGAGCATGCTAAACATGGCATGATTTGGCAATCCCCGAGTTCCCACCCAGCTCTGTGATTCCAGTGCAACAAACGCTATTATTATACTTGTAGAATTTATTTTAGCCTTACTGTTTTCTTGAATTAATAATTAGACCTAACTGAGTTTTATTTTTTAAGGAAAGATCGTAAGTACCCTTCTCTAAAGTTTGGGGTTTTGTAGGATTTTTTGCAACACAGAGATGAATAGGAAAAAATACATTAAAAATACTCACGTTGCATTTTATTTTATGGAAAATTAATGTTTGGGTCAGTCAAAACTTTCAATAATCTCTTAAAAACATTTTAGGATGCAGACATTTAAAAATTCACACACAAAAAAAAAAAACGAACTAGGTTTTCAAGCAAATATTTATAGACTTCTGAAGTCTTCATTCTACTTATTTGCCGTAATATTTATCTGAGAAATTTCAGCATGTGAACTTCTTATAAAAATGCTTATGCTTATGTGTGGACGACTGCCAAGGTCCGGTCATCCTCTCCTGGCCATGCTTGGCCATCCCTAGCCACGCAGGCGGCGAGGGGTTACCTGCGTGCCGTGCTCTGTACAGGGTGACTATGCCGTCCGTTGTACACGTGCTAGTCATAAACCCCTGTTAGCTGGCAGCAGTACAGAGCCCACAACACTGGTTACGCATATTTCTGCATAAATCTGTCTCTCTTAAGCATTTTGAAACCCTTGATATGTCTGTTCATCTAAGGAGTAAAGGGATCATATAGGGACTAAAACTTGCTAATATGGAAAGATGCTTGGCGGTTCTAACCTGCATGAGTAACCAACACACTTGACTTTTTAAGCTAACTTCAAATAGTTTTAATAGCATATGTTTTAAACTAACGTAAAATAGCTTAAATAACCCGCTTGACAATTAATATCCATTACCATGTTTTTTCGTTTAGTTTGATCCAGTCAAAAGTTGATTTGCCTCAGGGAAATCCACCTGCCTGTGAGGCAGCAGAAAGTGAAAATGTAGGACTAGTCTGTATGTGTGGACTACTCTATATGATAAAGGACTAGTCTGTATGGTAAACGACTGGTCTGTATGTGTGGGATAAAGATATTCAGAAGGGATGACAGGCTATTGCATCTGCTGAAGGCAGGAAAGGAAGTTTTCTTTAAGGGGGGAACAATCCTTTCCTCTTCTCCTAGGCAGCAGTTTTCCATTTTTGTGTATCAGTAGTAAGCCCTTAGTACACTGAGTTCCTCACCCCAAACCTGTGGGCTTTCGAAGGGATTGTCCCCGTATCCAGCCAGCCATGACCACCTCCTCTCCATGGACTTCTCAGTGGGCCATGAAGCTCATGACCCAGCTTCCAGTGCAGCTGCCTTCTCTTGCTCTCCCATCCCATGCTGTTGTTTATAATTAACAAGATTTATTACAAAAATATGAAAAGCAAAGAAAAAATTGTTAAATTAATTACAAAAAAGGCGAAGTGCTACAGGATGGCTCAGTAAATGTGTAATGCACTTATTTTCACTCGTACACTTCCAGTTTCATATTCAAGATAGAAAAATTCATTAAAAGCTCATCTTAAGTGTTTGTGCCAAAGACACCTCCATGTGACCCAGGTACTAGAGGAGCCTGAACAACAACAGAACCCACACAGGCTAGGATATTTGTATTATACAGACTGAGGATATCAGGTTCCTAAATTGCCATTTCCCAATAGGAACAGGGCAGTCAGTGTTTTCACGTGATTAATTCCATAACTAATTTAATCAAAATTAATGACGGATTTTAAAATACATTATCACTATTAACTACATACACAGCGCACAGAGACTTTCACAATTTGGGTAATATTCGCGCTAAATACCAAGGCTTTTCCCTCTCATCCCAGCCTCTCCTGAAACTGTTTCCACAGCCAGGCCATAAATCTGCAATTGTAATAGCACAATTAAGTAGATTATTAGCCTGGCTTATTACATATGTAACACAGAAGCTTGCCTGGTTACTTGGCTTTATGGCACTGTCCCGAGTAGAAGTTTGACCTGTTCCTCCTGGCTTTGTTAACTGTTTGGGTTGTTTCCGTGGTGTGTTGCTGAGCTGTTGTTAATCTCTGCCGTGAGAAGAGAGGAGTTGCTTTATTGCAGCTTTTTCTGTTCTTCTATGGAAGGCTGCTGAGCTTGTTTGAGTTTGTTACTCTCATTTGATTTTTATTTTTTTTGGTGGATCCCTTTTTACTGTCTTTCTGTCCTGTGTTGTCAATGGCCAGAAAGCTATATAGATTGAGCTATAAAACCACAGTTACGCGTAACACATATATCCCATATAAATCTGATCTCTCAGATTTCCCGGTGGCAAACGCTGAACGGCCATGAACGGAGAGCTGATCAAAGTGATGGAGAGATCTTGAATTAGGTCAAGATACGTTTGGTAACAGTCCCTGTCACAAAGTACTGTGGCAGCAGGGAATCTTTTCAAAGGGTGACCTTGAACAGTGCAGTTGATGGTTCTCAAAGCCAAGGCGTTTCAGCGTAAGGAGAATGCCATAACACCCTCCGTAAGCTGAGGCCTTTCCCTGAATCCGTCTGCTTGTGAGGGCAGAGGTTTTCAGGGTAATTGGTTTGGAAAGTTGCTTTTATATCCAAGCTCCAGCTGTGCCAGAACAGCAGCTGCAGTTTGGAGAACCCTTTGTTGAAGGAGCTACCGGTAGCGATGCAATATCGGACTGGTGCGTTTTCATAGAAGTGCACCCAGAAGCAGTGGAAATGTTCGGGAGTTTTAAGGAATCTCCCTCACCCCTGTACACATCCAGCATGTCAAACACCAGCTCAGGATTTCACTGCTACCTCAGAAGGAGAAACCGGGCTCAGAGGGACAAAGTTCTAAACGCAGAGATCAGTAATAAAGCAAATAAAAGGACTTTATTATGTTTGTCATCCCTTTGCTCCTATGTGAATGCACCCTCTTGTCTCTCTTCTTCCAAATGGTGTTTCAGATTGCATCCCTGCACACCGATTACATGAGTTACTTGCCTAGACTACAGCTTCTGCTGACTAGAAATCAGATTTCCCCACTAATCAATATCTTAACATGGTATCTTTGAAATCTAATTCAATTTAGCGCAGTTTGGGTGCCTGTTGTTCCAGGTTTCCTTGCTGCATTGATTGACACCTCCCCTAATTTTAGTCATCTGGAAATCACTTAGTCTAAACTAGTCGTCTTGGCTTTTTCTGTCATCACGAGAGAGCTCTTTTAGATTAGGTTACTGATTTTTGGATGACTAAAGTTAGATGGCATAACTACAAATATTTTTTTTTTTTAATAAATCCAAATTCTTTGCTTGAGTCAACTAGTCCCTAAACATGATATTTTGTTCTGATTTACATGAAAGTAAAGATTTTGAGGTAACAAAAATTTAAATTTTCTTGTGCAAAATTTAGACTTAATGTAGAAAAATATAGAAAATTGTATTTTCTCTCAATAAACTACATTTCCTTTGAAAGTTCCCACCTTCTCTAATTGTAGGAAAATATATGTATTTGAAAAGAGATTTGAGGACAGTTCTCAGATTTACTGATACTAAATATGTGCATTGTGAAAAGAAGTAATGATTTCTTTAGATTTAATCCATGGAATTATCACAAAGATAGCTGATACAGTTGTTGTAATTTGTAAACAATTTTCAGTTATATTTTATCTTGACATTTCTAATTGAAGGTCTAAGCCTATAAACACCTGTGCATGACTTTATTCACAGATGCTCATGCTCTCAGGTTCATGAAAGGTCTTGATTCTCATTTCACCATATATAAATGTATTTTGAAGCAGTTTAGATGAAGGTATTGCCTCTTCTGTTAATTTCTTGATCAAATTCGGATTTTATATTTAAATCAATAATGATTTATGGTAATGAAATTTACCCTCAGAATTGCTAGTTGTTTTTCCCCTAGTAGACCTAAATGCTATGTACTATATTTATGATGATTACTATTATTGTATTTAATGCTAACTTTAAAAATGCAGATGTCTAAAATTTAATATTTTGGTGTTTGCTGTGTCCTGGTTTGCTGAAGGACAGAAACATTGTAACGTTTTCCTCTTTTCTCCTTTTTTTTTTTTCAAATCTAGCTTACCTTTTCTGAAGCCATAAGAAACAAAGCCAGATTATCCATCACAGGGAGTGTGGGAGAAAACGGACGCGTGTTGACTCCCGACTGCCCGAAGGCCGTGCATACTGGAACTGCAATTAGACAAAGTTCAGGATTGGCTGTAATTGCATCGGACCTACCATAAAAACCAAAAAAATAATTGAGTGCCTTAATCAAACTGTGTTGGTGACTGACGGGAACACAGCACAGACTGTAACGACATGGGAGTGTCATTGATGAACTAATAATTTGGCTGAGAAAGGGAAGTACGTCCAAATGCGCCAGACATCATCAGCAACAATGTGTGCATGAGCTCAGCTCGGAAACCCAAACTCAGATTTTATATCAGGAAAATTCATAATTTAGTTTTGTTGGGGGGAGGGGGCTAGGAAGGGTGTATTAACAGCAACAAATTTCACTTGAGTGGACTTAAAACTAATAAGACTTGCCAATTTAGCGCATTAAACTGTGAAGAACATGCTCAGAAAGGACAACATTTTGGTCTTTGTTTTGACAAAGAGAGAAAAATAGCTATAGAAGTCAATGAACATGCTAACCTGTGTCTCCAGAACATCAATATATACAATGGAAGAATACTCAGCTGTTCAGCTGTAGAAATGAAATCACTAAACTGTGATAAGAAAATAATAAATATGTAAATCCTGTGAAAAAATAAAGAAATTATTTACATTTTCTTTGAAAAAGAGGAATATTGAAACATGCTTGCTTTTTAACTGATGTAAATTCAGTAGAGGACAACACAATTCTTTTTTCTAACCATCTTAGGGAACAATTCATTGCAATAATTGATATAAAATGCCATCACTGTAATAAAATTCAGAGACTTTTTTTTTATAAAAGTTGTTGGTCATCCTCTTGTTTGCTGTTACCTTCATTCTGTTCCATCATTCCATGTTCCACAGATTTGCATCTGTCTAATACAAGAAACAAAATGATAAAATGTTTAGAGTATGTCATCAGTCTGCAGTGTAGAATCAAAAGAGACTACGGGTCACTCATGTTACAGATATTATTTATAATCTTGTTCTGTGTAAGAAACTGTGGTTTTTGTACCCACCAAAAAGAATAAAACAACGAACGTTCTTATAATATTGACAGAGCTTGAGTTGTTTTCTGATCATTAGGGATGTCACCTGGAAAACAGAATACGGTGGTTCGTTTCTTACCGCAGGATACAGGACCTTACTGGAGACAGCCTGAGTCCCTGCACATTTGTGAAGTGCTTTTAAGTCCTTAGAGAGCAGGGACTCGAAGCTGTCAAAGTATTGTCATGATTATTCAGTAGTTATTTTAGTGCTATCCTTTCTGAGAGGTTAGGGAACCATTTAATGATGGGGTTTGTCCTCAGGTGAGGTCAAGGGATGAGGAGGAGCAGGGAGCAAGAAGATACAAATGGCAGTCTGTCAGGCTGATGTGATAGATACAGTGTGCTTGGTACCCAGCAACCTCCGTTCTCATCAGCCAGCCTTTCAGTGGCATGCCAGGGAAAGGCTAGCAGGCACTCTTTGAACAAAAGACGATTGTTGACAGGAGCAGGCGTGTCTGTAGGTGTAAAGTTGTAGCAAGTCTCTTCTGTGATGGTCATTCTCCTTGGCCCCACTAGACGCTGCAGTGGTCTCCAAATCCAGAGTATTGCCACCAGTGTAACAGCTCCATGCCAGAGCCCAGACCACAAGTCAGATCAAGCTTAGATTAATCATAGCTTCTAACACCCTTGTGATTTCACCAGGCCCATGAGAGGTCATGTTCAGATGGCTTACATTTCACCAAAGCCTCCGTGGCTGGTGCTTCTCTCAGCCCCTAGGGCTCCAGGCCCTCGCGAAGAGGAGTGTGGGTGCAGGGTGGAGCGTGATGCTGCCAAACAATGATCAAGCCTCAACAACTGCAGCAAAGGACAACCAAACAAAAGCACTACTGAGGTGATACTCATCCTATGTGATCCTGACATCTATGGAGTAGCAAAGCAGGTGTTAGCTTCAGCCGCAGAATCGACAATATAGATAGGAATTTCTTCCCTCAAATACTCTAGACACCCTTTATAGCAACTGGAGGGAAATAACCAGAGTGAATGACTTCATCTTAAGGTAGACCTTAAAACATCAAACTGCTGAATCACAGGAGCAAAAGCCTATATCTTTCTACTGACTATAATTTAGGCTAAGGGCAACCAGTTCTTATACAGAGCTTGACAGTGCAGGCACAGGTGACAGTAAGGTGATGCTTACACCTAAGGCTCAATGACTACAAAGTGTGCAGGGGTCTTGGAGAAAAAGACATAACATTACAATGAATCACTGTGACTAAACCTACTTTATATCCTTGTTTTACTGGCATGTTTACCTCACTCATGAGTTACTGTGAACTATTTGTGTTTCTGTGGCTGGAATGCTGAGTTGTCTGGTTTTCCTCATGTTTGATTAAAGCTGGGAGCTCCCTCTCAGACTTCTTTTTGCAGCTGAATTTAAAGAGCAACTTCTGGGTTGTTGGTTTTGTGTTGCTTTTTTTAAAAAAAAAAACAGTGTTTGTCTTGGTTTTTCGTAAAGTAACACATTAGAGGCTGAACAGATTGGGAGACTGAGTGTGAAGGATGCTGTCTATTTTGTTCTGCTGTGTATGTCTGTTTTTCCAGGAGCTCGTCTTCATCCTTTCCTCATTCAGGACTGTGAGCAGTGCCAGTGCTGTCCTGGGATATTTTACTGTCTTCCAGTGTTACTCCTCTTATATGCCCCCCTGTCTCTATAATGCATTACATTTCATTTTCACCTTCAGTAAACAGCCCATCACTGCAGTTAGGAATGTCACTCCATGCAGTCCATTCTTAATTGCCTAAGTCAGATTTCCCCTTGGCAACGAGATCCCCAGGGTCCTTTGAGGTTTTGTTGTCCAGTGTCAATAACTATTGAGGATCCCCACTGAGAGGATTCACAATTGAGCAGCATGAACGATGCAGCCACCGGGCAGTATGGCCATGGAATGGTGTGACCCACCAAGGGCAGGCAGCCAGCAGCCATGGGAGGAAATCGCCGCATCCTCTCACCACTTCCAAGCCTTGTCCTTGGCAAGGGAATGCCTTGCTCAAAGAAAATTTGGTCAGATGAGGTGAAGAGGAGACTGTGACTTTGCCAATGCCTGTCATAAAACACCACAAATACAAAAAAAAAAAAAACAAAAAAAACTAGATGGGAAAATGCTACAACAGAGAGAGTTGACTAGAATTCAGGTGGTTGAGAAAGCAATCTCAGGGTATCGGTCTGCTTTCTCCGCAGTAGCTTTGTTGTCTTATTCCAAGGGGGTAACCGTTGCATGACTGCTATAAGCATCTTCACGTATCCACCTTAACAGCCCCTCGGGCATTTTTTCTTTTGCTTTTCCCCCTTCTCCTGAAACACTAATTTCTCACTCTTTTCTTTATCTTCCTTCCATCCTTTTGAAGATCAGTGCTGGAAATCACCCTCCTCCCATGTGTTGGAAGTATGACCCAAGGGAGGAGATCTCTTCCTCAGGTCAGGTTCAGGAAT